CAGTATATAAGCATACATAATTTATCCAAGATATATTGTGATGTAAATACAAACACTGCATACAAAAGCAAAAAGAAAGTTTAGTAACAGTTTAGTCATTAGTTTCGTATGAACATTAATACCCAGCTGATTTGTCAAATTAATTTTAAAAGTCTACATATAAACAAAATACAGTCAAAAGTCGTTAATCCGGACTCGTCGGGACTTCGGCGATTCCGGATTATCGATTTTTCTGGATTATAGATCATCAGTTTAAATCTGGTAAGATGGCATGCAGAAATTACAAAATTAAAAATATGAAACCGTAATTTATGAAATAAAGAACAATTATGATCTAAAGGGTATCAAAATTTACAAAAAGAAAAAGCTTGATATTTATTTGTTTACTTTATTAAACATTTCCTTCAATGTAAGTTGCTTGGTTTCATGTGATAATACTTTCTCTTTAATTGTATTACAGACATAATTTCTTGTTTAGTTACAAAGTTCCGCTGTTCAAGTCCTATAATTGCTGCGTTGAGAATACCGACTAATTAGTCAATCGAAATGTTTTCGTTTTCAATAACCTCTGGGTCACTTTCTTCACTATCGGAAGCGAATTATAATGACGAGGAACTTGATTTAAATCATATCAAAGACGGAGTATATCAAGATGAAATACTACACTTAGTACGGAATTATAAACCAAATAAAATAAAAACATCTGCTCTGAAGATAAGGATAGTGCTGACAGATCAACTTCCAATCCGCAGCGTGAAATTGATAAACAGATTTCGGATTTCAAAACATCATTTCGCTTTGTAGATACAAATTACATATTAGTAAATATATATCGGAAATTCTATTTGACATAATCTTTCTAATCTATCATAATCTAATAATGACGTTTCTGCCCCTCTGCCGCAGAGCAGCGTGAAATTGATAAACAGATTTCGGATTTCAAAACATACTTTCGCTTTGTAGTAAATATATATCGGAAATTCTATTTGACATAATCGAAAGTTCAAGCTTACTTTTATAAAATTGCTCTAACAGTCTGCAAAAAATAATAAGCTGGATACAATTCGAAAATTAAAGAACAACGCAATCTGCAACATTAACTGAATTAGATAACTTTAGCTTAGCGTATAACTCCGTTACACATTAAACGCGCATGCGCACAAACATATTCGCAGCTGTAAGGGTCTTATGCGCTGTCGTAAACGCCTGTGCGCATGCGTGAGCGCGACGCATGCGCAGAAAGTTTGTAGCTTTGAGGTCCGGATTATAGATCATTCCGGTTTATGGGTGTCCGAATTAACGACTTTTGACTGTACTTAAACTTCACAGTGAAAACAGGATTTTTTTTAATTTAAATTTTCTTATATGTAAAACGATCTCCAAAATTTTATCTAGCTAGAGGCTTCCCCTTTCTTTTTAGTGAGTGTACAAGTATTTATGCGTGTTTATTCACTCATTTGTGTGGTAGATGTATGTGTATAAACAACCGAGAAAACATGACCTAGTTTAAAAAACAGACATACATACAAAAGCCAATATAATTTTAAACATTTCTGCATCTCATTAGAAGAGTACTGCTGCACATTATTTTTGATTAATTATTGCAGTTTTAAATGTGCATAAAATGTGAAATTCTATTAACACAAGAAATAAAATTTTACATCATAAAGCATAACACAGTTTAATAATTGCTCTTATTTCAAATATAATTCACAAAAGTCACTGCCATATAGTAAACACCATTATTAACATCACTCGATGAAAATAATGTCACAGTATAACAATTTTAGACTGATCTTTGGAATATGGTAACAGGTAGTTTGGCGACATTTTGGAGGCGATAAAGGTTACTACCTAGGACTTTGGGAATAATGCGAGAAGTTTTCAGTTCCGATTACGCATTATTTTGTGTGAGGGAAATGAGAGATCATGAGATATGTCATGTGACATTAATGGACAAATCACTATTCTTTAATCGGAAAAGGGGGTATATTGTAAAAATATCTGCTGTACTTTATAGGAGTAGTTTCATTCTATGTTCTGTGAAACAGTGTTGTTTAATATTTGGATCCCATGGCCGTATATAAAGTAAATCCAAAATTTTTATTACGTTTATGTGTAATTGAAAAGAATTGCTTAATTGCGGATAAGTATGAATGTCCAATATGTGGGAAGATCGTGTGAAAGGAAAGATATTACAGATAGTTTGAATGGCGGTGCAAGAAACCTGGTGAAAATGGACATTTTGTGATCTGCCATGCACTCAAGATTCTGTAGAAGATTAGGTAAGTTAGTATTTTTAATTATTTGAGGATATTATTTTTATGCATTGTTCTAAATGTAAGGAGTATATAAATTAATATGGTATTATTGGAAAATTGTTATTAGCACTGATTCCGTTTAAAGTAATTAGGATTTTAAGCTAATTTTTATTAATTTAATGTATGTGCTTATTTATATTTTAAGTAGTGTTTTTTAATTTAATTATCGTGATTTTGAGAGTTATATGTTTGTAGTATTTTGGAATACGTTTGAGTAGAAGTAAATGTGCATGGAAAGAATTTAAGTATTTGACACTAAGTATTTGTAATCATTTTTAATGTTTTGTTATAAATTCATAGGTGACGTTTATAATAGATAATTTAGAGGTAAAAGTTTTTGGATATTTTATTTATTTTATACGTGCAAATGTCCATCCTTGGAAAGGGTATATACTTTTTTGTGATCAGATAATTTCATATATGTCCTTTTTACCGAATTTAAAGATTCACAAAATTGTCATGCATTTTCGTGAAATTTTTCTAATTTATGAGAAAAAAGCAGTGTACATGGATATAGTGAAGAGTGTGCGCAATGCCATTTTTGTGCAATTCTGGGATGTTTTTTAAGTAAAAATAAGTCGACGTGTACATGGTTTAGTGATATTTTAAATAAATGATGGTTATTTTGTGAATTTTATGTTTTGTAGGAATTTGGTATACATTTCAGTTGAAGTAAACGTGTATGGAAATAATTTAAATGTTTGACATAAGTATTTGTAACTATTTTTAATGTTTGCATATAAATTCATTGGTGATGTTTATAATATAATAGATAATTTAGAGGTAAAAGCTTTTGGATATTTTATTTATTTTATACGTGGAAATGTTCATTCTTGGAAAGGGTATATACTTTTTCGCGATCAGGTAATTTCATATATGTGCTTTTTACCGAGTTTAAAGATTAAGAAAATTTTCCTGCATTTTCGTGCAAATTTTTGTAATTTACGAGAAAATAGCAGTGTAGATGGATAAAGTTAAGAGTGTGTGCAATGCCATTTTTGTGCAATTCTGGGATTTTTTTTTAAGTAAAAATAAGTCGACGTGTAAATGGTTTATGTGTATGTGCTATTCTGAAAAATGCGCAAGGAGTTTGCGATTGTGTACTTTTTTCCAATTTTGCAGTTAATATTTGTCATGATTAAGCAGTTTTGTTACATAAAATTTCTAGCATAAGTGTAATTCGGCTGGTAGATTGTTGGAAAAAGTGTTGAGTAAATAAAAAGAAAAGAAACATGTCTTTACTTCGTGAAGACAAAATGGCGGTGGGGAAAAAAAAAAATAGAGGGTTGCTGTAACACGAGTTGGTCGCCAAATTTTCGCCAAAAAATTGCCAAGTTACCATAATCCAAAGATCAACCCAATTTTATTCTCGGAACAGACATACTAAGGTGACCAGACGTCCCGCTTAAATCGGGACGGTCCGGATTTCAGACTTCATGTCCCGAGGTCCGTTGCTTGTCCCAGCGGGCGCCTGTTTGTCCCGCTTTTCTGCAAAAGATGAAGTCTATGAAAGACTTTACAAAAGCCAGCTCACTAGTGGCCGAGCAGTAAAGACGCTGAACACTGGTAGTCCTCCACGAAGGCATCCCTCCCTTTAGGAAGATAGCCCTTGTGTGCTTTGCCATAATTGAATAATCCAATCCAAATCTACAAGAGCCAAAACTTCTTAGAAGCATTTATTCGTCAATGAAATACGTCTAAGGAGCACTTACACAGGATGATCCTTCTAGTTCAGAGGCTGATCAGGAAGGCCCGTAGTTCAGCGGCTGTGTCGAATTAACACATTTGCGACGTCATGTACTGGATGGACACATTCAGGCAGTAAGGTAGATAGGAAGTTGCAAACATTTATTTTCTGACTGCATTTTTTTAATTCTTTGTTCGCTTTTGTTGAAAGCGCATTTGAGTTGTCTCAGTCCAGATCCCAAAGTCCGTGATTGTTGATTTAATAATTAATTCAGTCTGATATATGGATAAATTCTATTTTTTCTTTCAATAATAGAGTATGTTTAACACACATGCTAATTCACAAATGATGGGTAATTCTTTACAGGACAATGCGACTTCCCTAAAAATTTTGCACTACGTATTTTCACCTTCAGAGGGGGCTTCTACCCTCTCTCCCCCTTCCCACCACCACCCAAATTTGGATCCCCGCGTCCCGCTTTGACCTCCGGAAAATCTGGTCACCTTAGATATACTCTAAACTGTCTGGATTATTTCTTAATAGGGGTTTAAACAATTTTTTTCACTACATCATAATATCCCAAAGGCATATTTCATTGTAAGATCATTTCAAAATATGCTGCACTCAGAAACATAAATAGCTTCCAGCAATTCTGATCAGGAATAGAAATGAAAAAACTTAAAATTCTTAGGATAACATTTTAGTTTTTGTCAATAATTTTTTTACAGTTTCATATCTGATATTTACAACAATAGCACAGGAATCGCTTCATTACTTTTATGTTTATATGCATGCTCTATTACTTCTAGGAGAAACAAATATTTGACTGCACTTACTGTACGTCACAGCACTAACAGTATATAAGATAATGTTATTGAAGACTTCTGCACAACATTACTTTAAAAAGTCGTATTTTTTATTCCAATGTTATTTTTTTAACATGTTTACCTGCAAATCTGTATTCAATAAATAATATGTTTTTAACTGCATACCTCAATCCTACTGAAATCTGTAAAACTGAAATGTTGCTACCTAAAAAGTGAAAACATCCAAATTAATACACTGTAGTTAGAATTTAAAACTACATTAATCCATATTTCCGTTTTATACAATACTTAAGTTTCTTACGAAGATCTTAAGCTTCTTTAAAGCCAAATAAAAATACGGATGTTTTCAATTTTAAGTTTTGAGACAACATTTAATATACAACTTATAAAAATAGAAAATACTTTATATATATATATACATTACACACACGCAATACGAAACATTACCATGATTAGCTTTAAACACTGCCATAAGTTTCAAATTATAAATAAATATAAAATTATATTATAAGTTTCCAGCAAGTATAGATTATTATAGGTCGTCTTCGTTAAGTAAAATCAGGCGTTACCTAATAAAAAAATTAGAGAAAGTATACTTACATTCCCAACTGTAAACAAATTCGTGGCAAACAAACTTAAATATTACGATGGACTTTACTATTTAAATGACAACATGTGCAGTGCCATCTGTTGACGAATTTCTGTTGCCGAAATTCTAGAAACATAAGTTTAAATTTAAATTTTCATTGGGAGAGTTATGCGCTTAATAATCTAAAATGTGTATTTATATTTGAAATAATTTTGATTTACTCGATATGAATGTTGTCAAATTGAGCATCTATTTAATAATATCTTTGTTTGATGAAATTTAATAAATTATGAATGGCAACAGTGGAAATTTTTCGGCTCTAAATCCCCAAACGCGCAGGGTGGTCACGAGACATCTAAACTACGTCTTCTAAGCGATGAAGTCACGCATTCAGGCACCTGGGTGAATACCCTATCCCAGGGGTCGGCAACCTTTTGAGTCGGAACAATCAAAAATTACAATTTACAAAATTTCAAAGTTTTTAAAGAGCCACCAATTTTTTTCTTGCCAACAATACATAGTACTCACATAAATAAAGTTTTTTGATAAACAAAAACTAATCTATTTTCACAACAAATTAGATAATATATATATATGGCATTGTTAGATAATTATTATTTAAGTAAAAAATTAAAACAATTAAACATTTACTTACAACACTAACTTGTATTTCAATAAAAAAAACAATTGAAAAACAAATTCAATGGGAGCATTGGCTTTGCATGGTTTTAGAAAGTTTGGATAAATTTGTCTCATAACTGGTTGTTTTAAGTTTCAAACACGACTCTAAATTTTTATTTGTTAGTTGGCTTCTTTAATTATATTCACGCAAGAGAACGCTTGCTCGCACGAATATGTCGATTCGAAGATAGTCAGCACTCCAAATGCCAACTTCTTCACCTCACTGTAGCAATCTTGAAGACTATTCCATGCGTCGAATATAAGTGCCGCAACTCGCGACATTTCTTTTAAAGCTGTGTGGCGTTCCGACAGATACTTCAACTTCTATTCATGAGATGGCGCCACGTGTAAAATCCAGGTCTTAATCGGAGCAGCAAAGCGACGTCATTACTCACTCAGACTTCTCGTGAGACAACTGTACGCGAAGGTAGCATGAACTGTCTTCCGAGCTCTGCGTTGATCTCTGCAATGTAATTTAAATTGTAATTTAGTACTTAATATATTCTTTTGTTATAGGAGATTGTCTACTCTTATTTTCTTTAATTATATCATGCATTAAGCACACGACACCAAAAGTGGTGACCTTTTGACTGAGCACGCTACTGACAATGGATTTTCAACGACCCTAAGCCACGTGCATCCCAGGCATTCTGAAGAACTGACTAAAAATAACAACGAATATGGACATTAAACGTATGCTACAACGTACCCCTTCAATTATTTCTAGAAGTATTGATATATATTTGCTTGTGTTTTTTTCAAAGTCGTGCATATCATCGCAAGGAGCTTCAGCAAAATCATCAATGTGATCTGTTCCGTTCCGCTGACTTCGCCAGTCGTGCAATAATTCTTCGATCATTCAACTTTTGTGACAAATGTGATACAATAGTGATTTTCGCTAAATGTGCTACATCAGTAATTTTTCTGCAAACGTGCTACGGCAAAATTCTTCCCTCAGTGTTCGAAAGTAGTGAATTTTTTTCCCATGTGCTACAGGAGTGATTTCCTTTTTCCTTCGAAAGTGCCTTAGCAGTGTGAAGTGGTGATTTTTGTGTGTGCGCAATACAAAATGAACGCATCATTTTTTTCTCAAATAGGGGTTTCTTTTCAAATGCATTTCGGTAAAATATTATTTGTGTGTGTAATTGCTGACCCTGTATTATTTGTGTGTGTATCGTTACGTAAATTTTTTCTGCATGGTTAAAATATTATTGTTATCATGGTAAAATATCAATAGTGTATCCTCTTGCTACAATATTTGTGCTGTTAAGTGTTTATTAATTAAAGTGAAAATTATTCTATCAGTATGCCCGACGATATTCCACCAGAGCCACAAATCACACGCGTTGCGGTGAAGCCACCGCCTTTCTGGAAAAATAATCCTTCATTGTGGTTCGCTCAGATCGAAGCACAATTTTCTATCGCTCGCATTAGTGAGGATTCTACAAAATTCAACCATGTAGTTGCAGCAATTGAGTCTGATATTCTGAATTCAGTGCATGACTTAATTCTCAAACCACCTGATTGTGATAAATACTCCAAACTGAAACAGCGGCTCATTGAAATCTATTCAGAAAGTGAATCTTCAAAAATACGTACTTTACTACAAGGACTTGAACTTGGAGATCAGCGACCTTCATACTTGCTGTCACGAATGCGTGATCTGGCAGGAAGCCATTTTAGTGACGACTTGTTGAAGTCACTATGGCTTTCGCGTCTCCCTAATAACATACAAATAATTCTTGCTGCTTCCAATGAAGATCTAACCCGTTTAGCAGCAATGGCTGACAAAATTAATGAACTTGTTACTCCAGCTTATGTCAGTGCTGCTAATGCTGCACCTTCCAGTTCATCCCTCGAACAACAAGTGGCTGAATTGACCAAAAAAGTATCTGAACTCTCTACAAGTCTTCATGCTTCACGGAGATACAATCGATCAAATCAGGGCCCACGTAATAAATTTCGTGCCCGAAGCAGGAGTCAATCTCGTCACAATACTCGAACGCAGTACAAAGAACCCACAAGTGGCATATGTTTTTATCATATGAATTTTGGCGCTCAAGCTCGCAAGTGTGCCCCTCCATGCACTTTTGAACAAGCGGGAAACTAAATTGGCGGTCTTCTGCTGGCCAACAGAATGTCCGCCACATCGACAGAATAGTACTGGCTGATCGTTCAACTCAGTTATGTTTTCTAGTAGATACTGGAGCTGACATATCAGTGCTCCCGAGAACTAAAACAAATGCTCACCAACTTAATAAACTTGTACTGTATGCAGCCAATGGTACCCAAATTGCAACCTACGGCACCAAACTATTGACACTTGATTTAAACTTGCGCCGGACTTTCAACTGGCCTTTTATTATTGCGGATGTAACTCAAGCAATTATTGGTGTCGACTTCTTGACACATTTCCACCTTCTAGTGGATGTCAAGAATAATTGCTTAATTGATGCTACAACTCAGCTGACATCACAGGGCCAAGCTTCTCACATATCGAACGTACCTACCAACATAAGTGTTGTATCGGGCAGCACACGGTTTCATCGGTTATTAGCAGAATTCCCTGACATTTTAAACCCATCCAAATCAGGGCAGCATACTCATCAGCCAGAAGTGTATCATCACATTGAAACACATGGCCCACCTGTATTTTCCAAGCCTCGTCGTCTTTCTCCAGAGATGCTAAAAGCTGCTCGCAAAGAATTTGAATTCATGCTAGCACAGGGAACCATTCGCCCATCTAAAAGTCCATGGGCCAGTCCACTTCACATGGTTAAAAAGTCTAATGGTGACTGGCGGCCTTGTGGAGATTATCGTCGACTTAATGCCGTCACAGTCCCTGACAGATATCCAGTCCCACATATCCAAGACTGTACCCATCTTTTTCATGGAACAAACATATTTTCTACCCTCGATCTTGCCAGAGCATATCATCAGATCCCAGTGCATGCTGAAGATGTGCCCAAAACCACTCGTACTATATGCCATTTGGCCTTCGCAATGACTGGCCAAACATTTCAGCGTTTCATACACCAAGTACTGTCTGGCCTCGATTTCTGCATCCCATATTTTGATGATATCCTGGTTGCATCTACAGATGCGGAAGAACATTTTCAACATCTGCGTCAGATTTTCACTCGCCTTAAAGATCATGGATTAAAACTAAATCCATCCAAATGTGTACTTGGTCAACCCTCAGTTTCCTTTCTTGGATGTCTTACCAAAACCATCTCTGAACTGAAGCGTTTTCTAGCAATGTTAAATTTCTACCGACGCTTTCTGCCAAATGCCGCAAAAACACAAGCCTGCCTACATGAGTTTCTGAAGAATAGCAAAAAAAAAAAAAAAAAAACGATCAACGAGCTGTCCCTTGGACTGAATCTGCATCTGCAGCATTCGTGCAATGCAAACACGATCTGGCAAATGCAGCCACACTTTCTTATCACTCACCTAGTGATCAGCTCTCTATAATGGTAGATGCATCTGACACGGCCATAGGAGCAGTGCTTCAAGCCCATACCACTAAAGGACTTTCCCCAATGGCATTCTTCTCCAGAAAACTTACTACTGCAGAAAGGAAATACAGCACATATGACAGGGAGCTACTTGCTGTGTACTGTGCTGTTAAATACTTCCGGCACAACTTGGAAGGACACGACTTCATCATTTTCACCGATCATCGACCATTAACCTTCGCTTTTAGAAAAAACTCTGACTCATGTTCTCCTCGTCAGCTTCGACATCTGGATTTCATCGCCCAGTTTAGTACAGATATCAGATATGTCTCTGGTACTGATAATTGTGTCGCTGATGCCTTGTCTCGGGTAAACAATATCAACCTCACTACCCCAGATTTCTCTGAAATTGCAAAAGCTCAATTGCATGATGAGGAACTCAAGAACCTAATCTCAAATCCACAAACCTCCCTTCAGTTACAACCGCTGCACATTGATCCAACGCTTAAAATTTACTGTGACATAGAGAACAATAGAATACGTCCCTATATTCCTGTCAATTTTAGACGTGAAGTGTTTAATGCCTTGCACAATTTGGCACATCCTGGAATCCGTGCCACCAAAAAGCTGATCGCAGACAGATTTGTCTGGCCAGCAATGAATCAAGACATCACAGAATGGACTCGTTCATGTATTAGATGTCAACGGTGTAAAGTATCCCGTCACACTCACACCCCCATTCAACAATTTAACCTTCAGCAAGACGCTTTGATCATGTGCACTTAGACTTGGTTGGCCCATTGCCTCCTTCAAATGGTTACACTTACCTCCTCACTTGTATTGATCGGTACACAAGATGGCCTGAAGCCATTCCTATTGAAAATATATCCGCTGAAACTGTAGCTCGAGCATTCATCTCCCAGTGGCTTTCAAGATTTGGCATGCCTACCACCATCAC